CTATGAGGCTAGAATTACTCTAAAACCAAAGCCACATAAAGGCACTACAGGACAACCACAGACCAGTATCTCTGATAAACATCAATGCAAAAATCATCAGTCAAACAAGAGTAAAACAAGTTTAACAATACATTAAAAGAATTATGCAATCTAACACAAAAGGATATATTCTTGGAATGCAAGCATGGGTCAACAAATGAAAATCTTTCAGTGTAAAACTGCACATTAAAAAATGAAAGAAAAACATTACACAATCATCTCAATGGATGCACAAAAGCATGTTAACAGCCTTTCATACTAAAAACACCCAATATAGTAAGAATAGAAGTAAACTACCATAACACATTAAAAGACATATAAAAAGCCCACAGCTAACATCCTACTCAACAGTAGAAGACTGAAAGCTTTTCCTCTCAGATCAGGAACAAAACAAGATACACTCACTTTCAGTATTTCTATTAACATATAGCTGGAGTCCTGGCCAGAAAAAAGGACAAGAAAAAAAAGGCATTCAATTAGAGAAAGGAGAAGCAAAGTTATGTCTGTTTAGAGATGATATAAACTATAATGTAGAAAACATGCGATTCTGCCCCAGAAAACACGCAGATATAAATGATGAATAAATTCAGAGAAGTCAAAAGATATAAAATCAACATGGAAAAATTTTTGTTTCTATACATTAATGATGAACAATCAGAAAGAAAATAAAGAAAACATTTCCATTTAAAACAGCATCAAAAAGAATAAAATACTTAGGCACAATCTTAGTCACATAAAAGATTTGTACACTGTAACTAAAAACATTGCTGAAAAATATTAGAAAACATAACAAGTAAATGCAAATATCCCTAGTTCATGGATCAGAATATAATAATGTCAATATGTGAATACTAATAAAAGTGATGAAGAGGTTCAAACATCTAGGCATGTATCCAAAGGAAGCACTACTTCAAAAAGACGGAAGTTTCTCAGTGTTCATAGCAGCACTATTGACAGTAGCCAAGACAAGGAAGCAACCTAAATGTCCGTTGACAGATGACTGGATAAAGAAGTTGTGAGAAATACAATATACAATGGAATACTACTGAGCCATAAAAAGAATAAAATAATGCTATTTGCAGCAACATGGATGGACCAAGAGATTATCATACTAAGTGAAGTAAGCCAGAAAGAGAAAGAAAAATATCATATGATATCATTTATATGTGGAATCTAAAAGAATGATAAAAATGAGCTTATTTACAAAACAGAAATAGTCTCATAGACATAAAAAACAACCTTATGGTTACCAAAGGGGAAGGGGGGTATAAATTAGGAGTTTTGAATTAATAGATAGACACTACTATATATATACATATTATATATATATTATATATAATATATATATATAATATATATATATAAAATAAGCAACGAGGATCTACTATTCAGCACAAGGAATCATATTCAATACCTTGAATTAATCTATACTGGAAAAGAAACTGAAACAGGAAACACACACACATATATATACAATGAAAAACCACAAATAAACTTATTTAACAGAAACAGATTCATAGACATAGAAAACAAACTTATGGTTACCAGAGAGGTAAGGGGTTGAAAGGGATAAATTAGGAGTTTGAGATTTGCAAATACTAACTACTATATATAAAATAGATAACAACAGGGTCCTACTGTATAGCACAGGGAACTATATTCAGTATCTTGTAATAGCCTAGAATGAAAAATAGGAAGAGGAATTTGTCTATCAATCTATCTGAATCACTATGCTGCATACCAGAAAGTAACACAACATTGTAAATCAACTATACTTCAATTAAAAAAAAGATAAAACTACAGAATAATAACTGAAGATCATTTAAAAATGATATTCAAGCAATACCTAGCAAAACCACAATATCATTTTTGGAAAAAAAGTACTTACATCCTAGGACATACATTGAATCTCAAGACACCAGGAATATCAAAATCAACCCTGAAAAGAACAAAGTTGAAGGTCTCACACTTCCTTACTTCAAAGCTTCCCAGAAAGCAAAATGAATAGAAAGAGTGTGGTACTAGTATACAGACAGAAAGACCAGTAGAAAAGATGTGAGAAATACATGCTTGCATATGTGGTCAAATGATGTCCCAGAAGGGTGTCAAGGTTACTCAATGAGGGACAAGCAGCTTATTGAAAAAGAAGGTGTTGCGAAAATTAAGATACCCACTTGTAAAAGGACATAGCTGGACTGTTACATGACACCACATTAAAAAAGCAACTAACAATGGAACGAAGTTCTAAACATACAACCTAAAAGCCTAAAACCTCTAGAAGAAAATGTAGAAGAGAAACTTCATGACACTGGACGCATCAGTGATTGAGCACACATCATCACAAAAGCACAGGCAACAGAAGTAAACACAAATAAATGGGACTACATCGAAATGGCAAACTTCTGTGTGTCAAAGCACACTCGGGAGAGTCAAAGGACAATCTGCAGAATGGGAGAAAATATTTGCAAATCATGTGTGTGAAAACAGGTTAATACTAAAACTTATCAAGAACTTTAAAAGGGTCTGCTGACCAATTTCACAATGGGTGTTGGGGGGTGGGGGACATTCCAAAATTCAATCCTCCCACACATTGCAAATAAGAAAACAACACAAAGAGCATGATCAGACAGGAACCTGATGATTAAATAAACACCAACTTCATTTAAAATGCACAGAAACGTACAAGATGAAAGTAGCAATGGCTTAATCAAAACAAAACACAGTCCTTCACTGAAGGCACCATTCAACTTCATAAGCTCCCTCATTAGGATGCTTCGAAATAGTATTTGTTGAGGTTGCATAAACAATGACACATACAGGGGGGGAATAATGTGGCATAAGCAATAAATAGTTCAGTCAGCAGCCTCAGAGACATGAGGACGTGAACTTGGACAATGCTGTCCCAAGGAGAAATTCCTACACCATTTATTGAGGCTCAGAGGGGACGATTATCAGTACATGAGAACATCGTCACAGTTGCTCTTGAGACGTGCTTTTGTAATACTCCTCAAAAGTGGGGGGAAAAAATTGGAAACACATCTTGCTCAGTCAAGGTCTTGTGATACTTTCCATCTCAGGGTCCTGGAACACACTGACCAATATGCTCAGTAGCTTCAAGTGGTAGAGAATTATACTGTAACATATTAGTGGAAAAATTTCCATCAAGAATGCTCTGTTACCAAGTAAAACCCTTCCATCAAAGATGGCTTATCATAGCAACAACAACAGCAAAAAACAAAAACAAAAACAAACAAAAAACCAAGCAACCAAACAAACAAACAAAACCAACAACCAACAACAACGAAAATCTCAGGATGAAATTTGAGACTCTAATAATGTGCATTATAAAAGCAATTTGGGGGGTGGGTGGGTGAGAAGGGTATAGCTCAGTGACAGAGCACATACTTAGCATGCATGAGGTCCTGGGTTCAGTCCCCAGTACTTCTATTAACATAAATAAATAGATAAATAAATGAAAAGCAATCTCAGAGGCAAAGTCATGCAAACTAAAGAAAACATGACATCGAGAAGAGTCTACATTCCCAGGCCAGGTAAAGAGGTCAAAGAGTGAGAAAAAGACAAGATATGAGGGCCAGATATTATAGACCCTTAATGTGGGACCCTGCGCTCTACCCAGATGCCAAGCTCAGAGCCTGGAAGATTCATATATGCTCCCCCGTAGGACTGGGGGGTCAAAGAGACTCTCTCCATCCACTGTCTTTACAGTTTTCCTAAGTAACAAGCACAGAAGATCCCACCCTTTTCCCCTCTGCACACCCCCCTGAAGGAGGAGGCACAAGCAGAACAGAAGAGAGGGCTGAGGGACCTGAGCAGGCAGGCAGGGCTTGAGGCAGGTCTGTGCAGGGTCTGGGGCGACAGATGGAAACAAAGGGCAGTCAGCGTTTCCCATCATTTCATTAGTTCTTCCAAGTACAGCAAATGAGGATGAAACTGAGATCGGGCCAGGGCTCAGGACTATGAGCCTTCAGCTCTTATCTACATAGACAAAAAATGGAAAATCCCATGGATCAAGTACAGAAGAAGTGATCAAGGGGGAAAGATATTCCTTTGAAACAGTTCACCACATGCTGCTCAAATAAGGCAAGGAGCTGACAGGAGCCAGACGGCAAAGAGATCCTGGCAAAGACTCTGCCTCTGTCTCCGGTGGAGCTGCAGCACCAGAGAAGTGAAAGGATGAATTTTACATGTTGAAGGACAGTGTGGTACGTACGGGAGAGGAAAAACATCCTCCACGAGGTCACAAGTAATAAACTTGTCTTCCCAAAGAACTCTCCGACGAACGGAGAGATTTCTAAACACTGTCAACACTGTGGCCTCCTCTCTGCCCTTCTGAGATCTGACCCAGGTTCGTACTTTTCATACATTCCCACCTGTTCGGCTTTTTTTATCCTCACGTCACTCTTCACAGTCCAAGGTGCTTGCTCTTGCTCCAAAATGCAAATAATATTCAGGTCAGAAACCAAAATTCCTGCCTCTAAGAAGAAAAAATGATGTGCTATGGGTTTTTCAGAATCCCAGCTCTCTGATCAGCAGAGGAAAGAGTACATGAAAAACGGATCTGGAAAACATTTCACAAATTCATTCATTCACTGCTTGCCTCCTCAGAAGGCATGGGGAATAGTATAATGTGCAGACATCTAGTTCTCTTCCAAATAGGGAATCAAAAGCACAGGGCAGAAAATGGGGAATTGGATATGTTAAGTTTCCAACTGGGCTTCATCAGTATTTCAGCTGTGGAACAACTCTCGGTGCAACATAAAGTGGGCAGATCAGCCGAAGAAAGAGCAAGTTTAAACTCCTGGCACGACACCATGAAGCTTTTCATGTCTGAGGCAACAGGGATTTCAGATCAGTCAAGCAAAACACAGGCTCCCAAGAGGCACACAGGGAAAATGCAGACACCTAAGAGTAGATCCTGAATTCTAGAGGGCAGTTCTCACCCAGCGAGAGCAGGTTCCTGCAGGTCTCCAACATCACGTCCCTGTACAAGATCCTCTGAGCAGGGTCCAGGCACTCCCACTCCTCCTGGGAGAACTCGATGGCCACATCCTCGAAGGTCAAACTTCCCTAAAATGAAAAACATTTCCCCAAGGGGCCATGAGGAGACCTCTTATTTGCACACAAAATGAGAAGAGAGAAGGGTAAGGATCAAGTCAGCTGAAGTGTGTGTTCTGACAGATCCGGGGAAAGGTATTTGGAGTGAATTATGAGTCTACAATTTTAATTCCTAATGCCTTTTCATAAAGATTATAATATCCTTCATTCAGTGTGGATTACTCATTTTTGTGGACAATACATGAAAAACATACAAATAAAATTCAACCACAGGTTGTCTACGCAGAAGTGGTAGATACTCTGTTCTACACACTGAGTGATATTCACTAGATGAGCTGCGGTCTGAGTGCTGCCATCAGAGACGGCGAAGTCCACAGTGGCTTTAGGGAGAGCTGAATACTTAAATTATGACAATGCTAACAACAAGGACTAAAGGTGTCTGAATACTTCTTATGTGCTAAGCGTCACTCTAAATGCTTTACATGTATGAATTTGTCATCTACGTAACAGTTCATTAGAGAAAGGCATGTTCCTATCTTTCAAAGGAGAAAACTGTGTCACACTCTGTCACTTGAACTAAACTGACTAAAAATATTTTAAAAACACTGATTCCCTCCCCCACCCCAAAAGGGGGTATAGCTCAAGTGGTAGAGCACATGCTTAGCATGCATGAGGTCCTGGGTTTAGTCCCCTGTATCTCCTTCAAATACAAATAAATAAATAAACCTAATTACCACCCCCTGCCAAAAAAAGATTGACAAATACTTAGCTAGACTGAAAAAAAAGAGAATGTTCAATTGACTAAAATCAGATATGAAAGAGAAATCGTAACTGAATCACAGAAAATTTTAAAAAGGATTAAAAGAGAGTGCTATGAACAATTTTATGCCAAAAAATACATAACCTAAAAGATACGGGTAAGTCCCTAGAAACATATACCCTACAAAGACAAAATCATAAAGAAATAAAAAATATGAGCAGAATCATAGAGATTGATGCAGTAATCAAAAACCTACAAGGCAAGGATGATTCAACATTAAAAAGTCAGTATTGGGTACGGCTCAGTGGTAGAGTGCGTGCTTAGCATGCACAAGGCCCTGGGTTCAATCCCCAGGGCCTCCATAAAACCACCACAACAATATAATACACCACAATAGAATGAAGGAAAAAAATAACACATGGTCATCTGAACTGGTGCAAAAACAACCATCTGACAACATTTGACAGCATTTAGAGATAAAAATGTAAACTCTCTCAGTTTAATAAAAACCACATACTGAAAGCACACAGCTAACATCAAAATCAGTGGTGAACAATGAAAGCTTTTCCTCTAGGGTCAGGAAAGGCCAAATATGCACACTCTCTGCACTACTAGTCAACAAAATACTGAAGCACCGAATCAGAGCAATCAGACAAGAAAAAGATAGAAGCAAAATTATCTTTTTTCTTGCAGATGACAAGATCTGACACGTCCAAAACGATACAGATTCCACGAGAAGAATGTTACAAATAAAAAATGATTTTAGAAAAGTCCTAAGATACAATATCAACACACAAAATTCACTGCATTTCTATACACTCACAATGAACAATCTGAAAAGGAGACTGAGAAACAATCTTTTTTACCATAACATCGGAAAAAAAAAAAGAAAAGAGGCATAGGAATAAATTTAGCCAAGGAGGCGAAAGACTTCTACACCCAAACCCACTAAACTTTGCGGAAAGAAATAAAAAAATGGTATCTAAGCCGCTCTCCCTTCTGAGATGGGATCACGCATTCTATCCATGAAATGCGTACCTCTCTAAATAAACTTGCTTTCACTTGAAAAAAAAAGATACTTAATGTTGGGTGTCCACGCCACCCACAGTGTTCTATAGATTCAATGGAATCCCTGTGAAAATCCCAATGGCAATTTTTGTAGAAATAGAAAAAAAATATTAAGTTCACACGGAATTTCAAGGGACTCCCAAATGGACAAAATAGTCTTGCAAAAGAAGAAAGTTGGATGACACACTGTTTTCGATTTCAAAACACTTTAAAAAAAAAAGGCAAGATGGTATGGTACTGCTATAAACACAGATATATAAACGAATAAAACAGACCAAGATATTGAAACATGAACCCTTGCATATATGCCAAACAATTTCTGACAAGGGAGCCAAGACTACACAATGGGGAAAGGACATTCTTCAAATGGTGCTGGGAAACTGGACATCTACCAATAAAAGAATGAAGCTGAAACCTCACCTGCATCAAACTTAAAAAAAAAACAAACCTGTGTGTGTCAAAGGATACAGTCAACAGAGACAAGACACCTCCGAGGAATGAAGGTGATGAAAACAATTTCAAGAATCTCCAAGTGTCCCGCATTTAAGTGGATTATACAGTTTAAAATCCATGATGGAATAAAACACCCTCTATCACTGATGTCTCTAAACTTTCTATTTCATTCCCAACCATTAAAATTTTGAAATAGGTACTCACTCATTTAGCTTTAAGTCTACTACAAAACGTGAGAACTGATTTCCCCCCACTGGTCTCTTTTCCAGAATTTACCAGGTACTATGCATATAAATACCTGACTTCCAAGTTCAGCTTCTTCTTCTTTTCCTTTTTTTAATTTGGCTTTTTGGGAAGTATGTTTTTTGGGGGGTAATTAGGTTTGTTGATTGATTGACTGATGGAGGTACAGGGGATTGAACCTAGGACCTTGTGTATGCTAGGCAGGCGCTCTATCACTGAGCTATACTCTCCCCACCAAGCGCAGCTTCTTTCTCTGGTTTACAGACAGCGGACAGCGCACCCAGATGGGCCCCTAAACCCTCCCTGCTGCCCCACAGCACTGACTCTGGGTCTCCAACCCACGGGGGTGAAGCCCGCCCAGGACGCCGCCCGGGGAGCCGCTTCACACGTTCCAGGTCCTGGGGTCCCGGGGGTGGAGTCTGAGTGGGGAGGACAGGCGCTGAGGGAGGGCCCTGGGTGACTGTGGATGTACAGGTGTCAGGCAGGATACTTCGGAGTCAGACAGGATTAGCGAGTCCAAAGGGCATTTCAGGAAGGACAGACTGAGAATCCAGTGAGAGTACGACTTTACCTGAGAAGGGGCCATTCTCGAGTCCTTTTCTGTCCTCTCCATCCTCTCCTGGGCTTCTTCCTCGGGGAACATGAGTCTTCAGAAGTCAATCCTGAAAGGTGGAAGATGCTGCTTAATGCTGAGAACCAACACACCGCTTCCTGTGCCACAACCACACACACAGGGGAGACCTCACCACGTGGAACAGACAGTCCTCTGCTGCCCACTGTCACAGGAGGGACTCGCGACAGGAATCTCCACACACACACCAACAAGGGAGTTTCCCCACACTGTCCTCACATCACCCTCCCCTCCTGGTGAGCCCCTCACCCACAATGCAGCAGTGGGCGCCTCAGGGGGACCCGACAGCCCCCTTCAGGTCACAGACTAGGCCCTGATCCATCCCCACGCAGAGCAGAGCCCCCTCCCCCTCAGCCCGGATCCCAGCCCTCAGGATGGGAGGACTCAGTCAGGATGCTCAGTGAGGGACCCAGACTGGAATCACCGGGAACTTTAAACATTATTGAGGCAGGACTCCACACTGACTATGTGAAAGGGAATCTCTAGTCAAGGCACATACATGTGCCAAACACCTCATCAACCAGATGTGAAGCCTGGGTTGAGCACCTCTGAGAGGAGGCAAGCCCAGCACACATCCCCCTTTGTTTTTTCCAGCTTTATTGAGCTATAATTAACGAATGAAAATGATGTGTATATATACATATATATCTATCAGCTATACAATGTGATCATTTGACAGATATATGCATTGTGAACTATTTTTCACAATGAAGGAAGTAACACATCTATCAACTCACAATTACCATTTTTTGGGTCTGTGTGCTCAGAACACTTAAGGCTTACTCTCTACAAAAATTTCACGAATATAGTAACAGAGTATGATTAACCAGTCACCATCCTATATGTTAGATCCCCAGAACTTACACATTTTACAAGTTAATATTTGTACATTTTCACCAACATCTCCCCATCTTCCTCACCTCCCAACCCCTGGTAACCACCATTCTCCTGTCTGGTAAGGTGAGTTTGACTTTTTTAGAATTTACACATAAGGGAGATCATACAATAGCTGTCTCTTTCTGCCTGGCTTCATCCACTTAGCCTAATGTCCTCTGGGTTCATCCATTTTGTCATAAAAAGCCAAATCTCCTTCATTTTTATGGCTGAACAATATCGCACAATGTTCTCATTATCCATTTGTCCGTCGGCCAACAATGAGGTTGTTTCTGCATCCTGGCTGTTGTGAAAATACACACACGTGCCGTAATGGTCATGGGGGTGCAGGCGTCTCCTTCAGTATCTTGCTTTCATTTCCTTGAGATACACAACCAGAAGTGGAACTGTGAGATACCAAGCCTGTCCTGTTTTTAATTTCTGAGGAAACTCCATACTGTTTTCCACAAAGCTGTAGGTCCACACTGCCGCCAACAATGCACAAGGGTTCCCCTTCCTCGGTATTTTGTGTGCACGTGCAGTCTTGGAGACGCAGGGAGAGGACGTCAGGGTAACCACGCTGGGCTGGCAGCAAGGAAGGAGCAGCTGCATCTTCCCCGCTCTGATTCTTGGAACAAACGTTCCCTCTGTCATGGGATTTTGTGGCCCCTCTCAAGTTGAGCCCATACACCTGTCCCCACCAGGCCTTCTCTAATGAAATCCTTCCGCTTTCGGCTTTTGGCTCTGAGGAGGCCAAGGTGCAACTTTCTTTGGTCGTCCCAAATCTGGGTTCATCCGACACCAGCCACCTCCACCAATGAGACCAGAGATCAAAGTCGTATACCTGAGGTGCACTGGTGGAGAAGTCGGTGCCACATCTGCCTTGGCCCCCAAGATCGGTCCCCTGGGTCTGTCTCCAAAAAAGGCTGGTGATGACATTGCCAGGGCGACTGGTGATTGGAAGGGTCTGAGGATTACAGTGAAACTGACCATTCAGAACAGACAGGCCCAGACTGAGGTGGTACCTTCTTCCCTCATCATCAAAGCCCTCAAGGAACCACCAAGAGACAGAAAGAAGCAGAAAAACATCAAGCACAGCGGAAACATCACTTTTGATGAGACTGCCAACATTGGCCGACAGGCGCGGCACTGATCTCTAGCTAGAGAGCTCTCTGGAACCATTAAGGAGATCCCGGGGACTGCCCGGTCTATGGGCTGCAATGTTGGTGGCCGCCACACTCACGACATCATAGAGGACAGCAACGGTGGTGCGGTGGGATGCCCAGGGAGTTAAGAACTACAAAGGAAAATGATCTAATAAAGGGTTATTTAACAACCAAAAAAAATCCTTCCATGGAAGCTTAGGACCCATCATTTCTCTTCTGGACTCACATTAACTTAGTAAGTCCCCAGACACTCAACAGTGAACCACCTACTCTGCTATGTAATTTTATGAAATATATACCAGGCCCCAATAATGCATGTATTTATGATGGAATAACACACAGGAGGATACCCAGGGACCCACTAGACCAGAAGACATAGTATGCTCATTCACAGTGACCCCAATCCAAATACTGTCATCTCCAGAAATTAACATGAGATGTCTCCAGTGATACACATGCCCCAGTGAGACCCCAACATCTTTCAAGGAAACACTCCAAATCCTCTTTTGTGTCTTTTATAGTGGATCTGAAACTTTCTACACTTGCACAGTGATTCCTGCCCTCCTAAAAGACCCCACAGAAGTCACTGTGTGGAGTGGAGGCTGGGGGGCATCTGCTAGATCCAGGCCCTCAGGACCAAGGCCCCCATCCTCCTGCACCCACAGCCCCCAGGTTTGCTCAGGCCTTGGATCAAGTTTCTCTCTGTCTGACTCCACTTCCTTCGCTCCCCTTCAGGTGAGATCATGAGCTACCCAATTAAAGACAGGCATGCAAAGCTCAGGCTCAGCCTCTGTGTCCCAAGAAGCTGAGGTAAGGCATCACAGCACTGCAAACCCTGCAAGGCAGCTTGAAACTAGCCCAAACCCACTTCCAGGGGCTCCAAGCAGATGTCTCACATCCACATTTGGAACAGCTGGACACACTATTCATTAGGCTCCTCTAGGCCCACATTGCTTCCACAATCTTCCTGCAGACCTCACAGGCTCCCCTCCATGTTCCCCACTTCTCTTTCTCTCCTCCATGCATGAGTGACTGAGCAACAGGGCTACAAAGAACAGGGGCCTCCAGGTACAGGCATCCCAACAGGAAGGCACAAGCTGCACCCAAGGGACCCTGGGCATTCAGTATCAAGGTCAAGAAGCTGGCCCTCCTGGGAAAACGTATCAGTAACTGGGGACATCATGTAGCTGAGTTTTAAAGGCATCTAAGGATTGCTTGCACTGAGTTTCTGTTCTAGACTCCAATCTCCATGTTACAAGCAGGCTCGCTAAGGTCCAGAGAGAAGGTCTGGACATTTCAGAGAAGGTCTCAATTGAGCGAAAAGACCAGATATACCTGAATGCTTAGAAAGTAGCCTGAAGGGCCAGTGGGCAGAGTCTGCCTATAACACTCTCAACACTTGAAACACCAGGTCCTTCTCACATGTGCCTGAGCAAAGGGAACATCTCTTCCAAGGTCTCATCACACTGATACCAGGCACGTAGTTCTTCTTTTCCAGAAAAAATCACAGTAAAACAATTTAATAAGAATTGCAAAACAACAGCACTTGACCTGGAAAACATTTTAAGGGGTCAGCTTAGAAGAAAGCTCTGAGCAAACTTCAGCATGAACAGATGGGCTCTGCTGGAAGAAGGTTCCAAGCCCATCCAGCCCATCCTCCACCATCTGCAGAGACAGTCAAGAGGGACCTGAGGGAACAACTTCATGTCACCTTCCAGCTCACTAATTTAACAGATCACCAAAAAGGGAAGAACACGGAATATCAGGCTAACTGGTAAAACTAGGTTTTGACCATTAATGTAAAAGATCATTGACATCTTTACCAAGTACTCGTCAAAACAGTCTAAAATCAATAGTTACCAAAGAACTTTTCCAGTATGTAAGAGAAAGAGGAAGAAGCACACAGCACCGAGTAAACTTCAAAAAAATTTAAAAGGGAAATAATTTGTGGTTTTTAAAAAGTCCAAAAATTCTGGTGTCAAAGATGGAAAAATTGAGAATATATCGTATTTAGAAAAGAATGACATGAGCTGATTATAGAAGGCCACCAAAGCTTATTTCAGAATTTATTATTTATAGAAAAGTAGAAATTGAATATACTGATTTATTACAAGATAATAAATAAATACAAAGAAATCAGGAAGAAAAAAGCAAATCCAACACAACCCCCCCCCCCACTTTTAATGTTCCTCTAAAGAGGCACCGTGTGGTGACAGAGTCAGTCATTTCTTACCCCACGTGTCCTCTCCCCTGATCTCTACTCTGTATCACGAAATGGGAAGGGGGTGACTCACAACTCAGTAAATCAAGTTACTGCCCCCGGGCTGAACAGGGGCTGCAAATGTAAGTTATCTTCTGATACAAGTAATTACAAAATAAACAAGCCTTACAGATAGGAGTTTTGCAATTCTCATCCTCATCTGTAAAATCCAAACAAATTTTAAATGTATTAGATACTAAAGCCACAGATCAATATATCACGACTTAATCACCCGCATCCAAACAACTCAGCACCATCTGCATCGTGTCCCCCTCTACCCGCACTACTGTGTGTTTCCATTTCATTCCTTTTATCTGTCTCCCTCTTTTTGGTCCCCTCTACTCTCCTGCTGACTCTCCCCTCCTATTTTTTGGTGACAACTGTCCTGCCCCACTCGGCAACTTGTGCCTCCTCTTGTTGCTCCTTCTGTCCAGCCTTTCTGATTGCCCTAAATCTTTATGTTATTTCTGCCTCTTTCTTCCTACATCTCTGCTCCCTCTCTGTTCTCCCGGCTAACTCCTTCTATCCTGCTACCCACCTTTCCTCCTCACTCTCTGGAACCCCAGGTGGCTAGACTTTCTTTCTGCTCTCTCTTCCTCTGCTCTTCTAGTCACTACTTGCCCTTTCTTTCTCTCCCATCACCATTTTCCAGCAGGGTGGAATTTGGGATGGAAGAACCACGAGTGTCACATGGTTGGCCCAGGTCACCTCACCCTACACGGGGTAGGGGAAGGGCTTATTACGAAGGGGAGGCCCGCGGAGCGGAAGGACTGGCCTGAGGAGGACGCGAGGACAGAGGGGCTGGGAGGGAGGGGGGTTTCAGGAGAGGCCGGGCTCCCCAGAATCCCGGGACCCCCGAGAGGACGCAGCCTCACGGGAGCGGGGCGGCCGGCGCCGCCCTCCAGGGGCCGAGAGGGCGAGGCTGGGGGCGCGAGTCCACCTCGCGGAAGGGGACGTTACATGGGGGGAGGAAGGGTAAAGGGTTTTATGAGGGAAAATATGACAAAAGGCGGTGTCTCCGTGACCGAAGGCAGAAAAGCCAAGGGCAGAGACCAGCCTCAGAGCGGTTTCAGACGCGAAAGAAAAGATCCCCGACCTGGAGCGGCGCCGTCTATACAGGAGGAGGGACTTTACAGGGCGGGCAGAGGTTAGTAAAGGGTTTATGAAGGAAAATATCGCGAAAGGCGGTGTGTCCGTGTCCGAACGAAGAAAAACCAAGGGCAGGGACCAGCCTCAGAACGGTTTTAAGCCCAAAATGACATGAACCCTTTCGAATTTACTTAGGGTGGAAGAGCAGGTGCGGGGATTTTAAATTTCGCAGTGGCTCCCACACTCTGAGGACGTATGGGGGGACCCCTGAAGTGCAGATTTACTACCTTAGAAAGAAGAAATTCACGCACCTACGTGGGATTTCAGCTCCCCGTGGTGACCTCCGCTCCGCAATCCACTTCCCGGTCTGGGGGAAACTGCGCAAGCGCAAAGCGCGTTGGCCGTGACGCTTGTGGGAGGGGACTGAGCTCGGCGCTAGCGGAGGGGCGGGGCGAGGAGAGAAGACGGGTGGGCGGGGGGGCCAGGGGCGGGGCTGGGGCGGGGCTTCTGCTGTCCCTCTGCCTCTCCTGCTAGACGTCCCTTAGGGATTTGGAGCGGTGTCTTTCGATCCTTGAAGAGCAGCTTTGCTTCCTGCTTAAGATCGTTGAAACAAAAAGTAGTCATCAGATCCATTAAACTATAACTGGCTTAGTAAATCATAATCTGTAACAGACCTCGCTGATTTAGCTCGCTTTAATTATTTTTACAAAACTTGCACATCCTCAAGTATCATGTAGCTAAAGAGGTTTGACTAAATTTTGTTGTTCTTAAACTTGCAATCATCTGTGCCCACTTCGAGACCCAGCTGGTTACAACTAGTTAGAACCACAGACCCTCCAACTGGGCATCTGTGAGTGTCTACTCTGTGACAATTTGACATCAGAGGGCCAAAAATACCCCTTTCTGAACAAGCAAACAGCCCTTTTCTGAACAGGAGTCCCATGATGAAGGCTGTAGCTTAGTTGTGCCAGCGCAGAAGAATTTATACATACATATGTTCTTTTTAATATTCTTTTTTCATTACAGGTTACTACACGCCATTGAATATATATGTGTAAATTCTTCTCTGTTATGTTTTTTTTTAATTAAAAAAAATTTTCCCCCTAATGGAGGCACTAGGAATTGAACCAGGGACCTTGTGCTCGCCAAGCATGAGCTCTACCACAGAGCTATAACCCCCACCCCACTAAGCTATACAACCCCAGCCCCCATCCTATTCAATACATAGTAATTTGTATCTGCCAATCCCAAACTCCCAACTGTCATATAAGATTGTTGCTGAAAGGTCAGTCCCCATCCTTGACGAGCCAAGTAATTCAGAGACCGGGTCTTGGAGCTTAGAAGAGGGGACTTGGAGCCAGGCAAAGGGGACTCGCAGCAAGCTAGTTCCTTTAAAACTGTGAACCCACCTTGGGGATGGCGTGGGGTGGGTATATAGCCATAGCTCAAACAATAAAGCATCGATAACAATCAACAGAATCATTTTCTCATCAGAAGACAGAATGGCGTCATGATGCCTCCAAAAGCCCAATTCTATGGAGGCCAGCGGTTGTGGCTCTTTCCATCTCTTTATCTTATAAGCACCCAAGGTGTGGTCTTCTTGGTAATTCAGTCTATTTTGTAAGGTTAAAGTCCTGTGAACGTCTCCTTGGAGAACAACTCAGAGACCAAGCATGATCATTACTTTCAATTACTGGAATAAAGTAGGAACAGTAAGCTCAATAGCTTTAGTTTTAACAGTGGGCCTGGAGCTGTGCGGAGCACCTGGTCAGTTAGGTCAGTTGACCGTTTAAACGGTGAGCATAAGAATAAGCAATATGTTTGCCTAAATGTGGCCATTTTATTAGCCCTCCTTCAATATCACTTATATGTGGAATCTAAAAAAATGACATAAATGAACTTATTTATAAAACAGAGACTCACAAATACAGAAAACAAACTTATGGTTACTCATGGAGGGAGGGAAACAGGGGAAGGAGGGGTAAATTGGGAGTTTAGGATTGGCAAAAACCCTGTTTCTTTATCCCTAAATACCCAAGGCCCTTGCCTTCAGGGAGGAGGATTTGGTATTTTTTCTCCAATCTCCTAGCATGGCTGCCTTATGAATAACCCTTTCCGCTGGAGCAGATCTTCGCATCTTTGGGTTTGGCTTGATGAGTGTTGGGCAAATGAACCCGGTTTGGTAATTCAACCAGTTGTGGGAGGGTCTCTGAAGAAAGAGAACCAGGCATGGCTTTCTTGACAGAAGAAAAATCATTTTGAGGGGAGTGGGTTTGTGAAGGAAAAGCCCAGCTGGGCTAACAAGCTAAGTCACAAATCTAAGTGTAACAAGTGTCAGATTACTGATCTGAGTTCTGCTGGACTAACTCATAAATCTGAAGTTTAGTGTCAGTCTATTGGGCTAACGAGCTCAGTCACAAATCTAAGTGTGATAAGTGTCGGTTTACTGATATAAGTTCTGCCGGGCTAACTTGTAAATCTAAAGTTTAGTGTCAGTTTACTGGGCTAACAAGCTAACTCATAAATCCAAGCTCAACAAGAGTCAGTAACGTGATCTGTTCCAAATTGATAAGCTCCAGTGTACTGATTCCTTGCTTTTTGTTGTTTGAATCTTATTGGCTAATAGCCCCATACTTGTAATTAACCCTATAAAACCTCATGTGCACGTCTTGGAGGTGCTCAGAGCTTCGGAGCAGAAGCCCCTCTGAGCCCGCGGGCGTAATAAATCTGAGTACTCCAACCCTCCGAGTGGTGCTTGTTTCTTGGGGGGCCTGTCATTTCCGTAACAGGTTTAGCTCAATGGTAGGGCACATGCTTAGGTTGCAAGTGGTCCTGGATTCAATCCCCAATACCTCCATTAAAATTGAGAGAGAGAACAAAAGAATGCAGAAGTTGTCAGGCATGCCAAGTAACGATAGCAAAGATACTATGTCAGGTGTAAAGAATCCCAGTTCTGTTTCAATGGGAATAGCCTGAAGCACTCATCACCATATCAACGGAACCTAAGGGATGATGATAATGTTGACTTTTTCTGACCCTCCAGACTTCAATCAACTAAAGTTTGGACTCCGTTGATGGCTCAAGCCCCCTCATGAACATGCACTTATCTTCAGTTTAAAACTTCCCCGGTTTTGCTGTTGGCAGACACTGCTTTGAGAAAGATACCTAGTGTTCTCTTTACTTGCTGAGAGTAATAAATCCTTCTTTCAGGCTTTGGCTTCATTGTCTTTTGGCTCTAAACCCATTTTCCCATGCACAAGATTGTCAATTCAGTTCCCAGTAGCTCCATTAAAATAAATAAACAACTTAATTACCTTCTACAAAAAAAAGAAAAAAGAAAAATAGAAAGAACTTAAAAAAAAAAAGGTGAGTGGCCTGATCATACTCAACACTGTGTTCAAGTTTCAAAGACACAGAAGGACAAGACCTGGGGTTTGAGGCTTGGAGGACTAAGGCATGTGAGAATTTAGATCACTAGCTATTGCAGTAAAAAGAGAAATAATAATAAAAAAAACTTGTTATAATTTGCATTGTTTATTTTTTGCTTAAGTTTGTTTTTTTTGTTTTTGTTTTTTAGCCATAGCTTGCAATTACCCAAGTTGCAATTTCTCTCGTTATTCCCAGATTCACTCACTTCTGCTGGTAAAATAACTGGATGTTGACAAACCTGGTGCCAGAAGTCAGATTTTTTAAAAGTGGACTCTGAGAGACAACAAATCTCCCTATTAGGTACTGTTAACTAAACTTTATGATGACAAACTCCAGGGAGTAGTCTGGAGCCATATGTCTATCACACGTGAAGACACTTGTAGTAACCTATAATGAAAAAAGAATATTAAAAAGTATATATATATATATATGTATAAATTCTTCTGCACTGGCACAACTAAGCTATGGCCTTCTTCATGGGACTCCTATTCAGAAAAGGGCTGTGTTTGCATGTTCAGAAGAGGGAGTTTTCGGCCCTCTGATGTCAAAATGTCACAGAGCACAACATTGTAAAATGATTATAAATCAATAAAAAATGTTTAAAAAAACGTCATAGAGCAGACACTCACAGATGCCCATGTAGAGGGACTGTGGTTCTAATTAGTTGTAACCAGCTGGGTCTTGAAGTGGGCACAGCTGATTCCAAGTTAAAAAAAAAGTTTAGTCAAATCTCTTCTTTAGCTACATGATACTTGAGGATGTGCAAGCTTCATAAAAATAATTAAAGCGAGCTGCATCAGCAAAGGCCTGTTACTGACTATGATTTATTTAGCCAGTTATAGTTTCATGAATCTAACTGATGACTACTTTTGGTTTCAATGATCTTAACTTAAGCAGGAAGCAAAACTGCTCTTCAAGGCTCAAAAGACACATCTTTCTAAGTCCCCAAGGGACACTTTTCAGGCTAAGCATGCACTCTACCACTGAAGTATGGTCTCCCTCCAGTAACTCTAAAAAAAACCATCTAAATGAAAAGGTTTTGTGAGTGGGTGGAAACACGTGTCCTGGGAGTGGGATGCCTACAGCTTAGCAATAGGTTGGGTGCAGGGAGTGGGGTAGGGGACAGGGCTGGCATCTATGGTGAACTGTCGATGTGGGGTGTTGGCTACACCCAGAACTGTAAGTAGAACCGACTCACTTCTCACCCATGCTTTAAATAAAGTTAAATGCATCTACTTTCTCCAGTGCACTGAAACTTTGTGTCCATCCTTGACGCCTGTTCTATGCTTGTATTGTAAGCACAAATACAAATAAAACTAAGACTTCATTTCTCTTGTACATGACAGGGATAGACATTAACTGAGTGAGTGAGCGTGCAGGGCCCTTCAATGCCATAAACACTGAGGTTCCTGGCATGCTTGGTATTATCAGAGAGGAGACAGGACTGGAGATACCTTAAGGACAGAATTAAGTTCACTTTTGGACACTTGCAGAGGAGGTTCCAGTTAAAAACCCACTATCCGCCTACAGCACACAGCTGAAACATGCGGAGGGGAGAAAAACTAACGCAAAAAACAAAAACCAAAAACACACACAAAACTCCAGACAGCCTAAAGGCCAAAACTCCGCGGCCAGGCTTGGTTATTTATCTCCATGGGCGGGAGCTTATTGGTGTGTTCTTATGCAAATAAGGGTGACTGAGAGGTAAGTTTTGATTGGTGAATATACTGAAAGTGAAAGGGGCGTGTCTGAAAGAGAGGGGCGGGGATGAACAGTCCCGCCCATAGTTCTCACTCAGGTCCGGGGAGGCGAAAGTTGTTACGCAGATGAGGAATGCTGAAGAGTAGATGCTGATTGGTAGGTTTTGCAGAAGGCGGAAGTCGTTACCTGCAGTCAGCTCTGCTTGTCCTGAAATGGCGGTGAATCTGCAAAATAGAGTTTGGTCGTGTCTATCAGTTATTAATTTAAATTTTTTTAATTCCATTTTTCAAATGTAACGTAGGTATTTTTTTTTTTAGTTTTGCTTGATGTCATATAGCGACCATATTAGAATTTACACTAACTCTGTAGCTGGAAAATAGCAAAGGTAAAAGAACTCTTTTTCTTCTTTGGTGCTGAGGGAAACAGCGTACTTGCTAAGAACTACACTTACTCTTTAATTTCTTTTTTGGCGGGGGAGGTCATTAGGTCTATTTATTAATTTATTATTAGGTTTTTTTAAATGGAAGTACTGAAGATTGAACCCAGGACCTTGTGCATGTGAAGCATGTGCTCTACCACTTGAGCTATATCCTGCCCCCTTTAATTTCTAATGTTTATATTGTATTTTTACTTTTTGTAGGGGGAAGACAATTAGGTTTATTTTTATTTACTTATTTGAGGGAGGTACTGGGAGTTAAACCCAGGACCTTGTGCATGCTAAGCAAGAACTCTACCACTGAGCTCTATCCTCCCCCCTGCCATACCCTCCCCAATACTTCCCTTATAATTTCAATAAGACAATGATAGCCTCCTTGTTTACTTCGGAAAATTCCAGAAAGGAATCCTCCAAATTCCCATCCATTGCCTTATGAATGATTACTGATTTGTTTGTCCTCAGTGATCAGTGGGAACTATGCTCGGTTACATGGTTTAATCAAAATTTACTTAATTTTCTCCTCTCCCCAGTGCCCTAAGTTTTGGACCACTTTTGAGGTTTGTAATTCAGAACAACCTCACTGTCAGAATATCCACAATCAAGAGTAGGTGACTTCAGCATAAAACATCACCTGAGAAACTGAGGCTCCTGCCATACTCCTCCACTCCTCCATATGGGACTTTTCCTGCCTTGTTTACCCCTGGATGTAAAAGAAAAGCTCTTTTTGTTCTGACATTTGAGCCTTTACACATTTTGTGGTTGCAGCATTCTCTCTACAATAATAATCCTTTGGAATAAAATCTATCCTTATCTCAGCTTCATAGCAGTAAATATTTCAGTCATTCCATCTGGACTCAAAAATCCATATTTTTAGAGGCAGTGGTAGAATGCAGGCTTAGTCTTTACGAGGTCCTGGGTTCAATCCCCAGTACCTCCATTTAAATCAATCAATCAATCAATTTAATCACACACACACCAAATTAAAAAAAAAAAAACCTTTACAACTTCCCACTGTCCCTACAAGTATATTCTTTAAATTTTTAGGGCATGTCAAACTATATCCAGTGTTTTTCACCTTTTTGAATCATTAATAATTTGCATCTGTTTCATAAGAATCTCACAGGGAGATCTGTGTCAAAAATCTTCCTGTGATTTAGGAAATGTCCTTTTTTTTCTTATAGGATATGTTCATTTGATAATTATATAAGCAACAAAACTCTCCATTTAAATAAAGGACTCATTACTTCCCCTTATAATTGACTTCTCTATTGTTCTGCTTTTAAAGAAAGGTTCCACCATTGACTCATTTCCTTGCTTGGAATCATGGAAGTCCATACTGAAACACCTTTTTTGCCAACATAGCTAGTCTGAAATAATGCATGATACAGAATGATCTATCTAATAAATATCCCAAATTTACCCAGTCACTGTCTGTTTAAAAAATGTGATGATATATCACCTTGTTTTCATATGTGTGATACACCAGGACATTCTACTCATTTTATCTGAAAATTATTTAAATATGCTAATATCCCTATTTAAACATAATCATATTTCAATTGATCGCCATTTCCCTATGGATGAAATCTTCCACCTGTAGGACTGATAAAAGAAATTTTGCAGCGTAAATAAGGAACAGCTTTGTCTGAGTTACTTGAGCAAATGGTGGTGGTTCACATTCATATTTTTTAAACTTTCAAAAGTGTTAAGTATTAAAACTGTAGTAAATTCCATTTCATCTTTGGGGGGAAAATTCCAAGTATACTGTTTGTATTAAAGTCTGACAGTCATACTTATGCTTTTAAGTGAAGTTTAAATTATATACATTGTAAATATTGAATAGTGTTTAAAAAGCATGCTTCAACATAGAAGTAGCAGCTATGTAATTATTTGAAGTTACACTTAACACACTCCACTGCATTGAATGCAATGGACGAATAAGAATATTTAAGAAGGACATTTCCAAGGTTGAGTACTATGTAAAATTAAAATTTTACAAATTACAAAAGAAAATCTTCCACCTGCAGTGATGTGATAAAACCTGCTTTGGAGTAGATGTTTAATGAGAGATATTGCCACAAAAACATTGAGGGTAGAAATCAAGTGACTGTATCATTGATAATCTGGCTTTACTTTCTTTAGGGTTCATATTAAAGAGAATATACCCCTCTTACAAAATGCCCTTAGACATATTGCAAAATTAATTATTCTTTAGATGAAAATAAATCCCAGTGTCTTCTGAACACTGTACGTTTACAGGCTCTGTTATTCAACCTGACAGAACTTTCAGAAATAGACCGCAAAGAGCGAAAATACAATTTTTTTAAAAAGGTAAATTTCTAATTAGTTTCATAATGAATGTACACTGAATTTGAAATTCATTGTATTTAGTTGAGATTATTATGATGTAAGCAAGTTTTTCTCAAAGACGTTTTCAGGTAATTCATCACAAGTGTGGCATAGAATAAGTGTTTTAAAGAATAGGGAGGAGAGTATTACTCAGTGCCAGAGTGCTTCCTTAGCATGCGGGACTTCCTAAATTCAATCCCCAGTACCTTCTTTAAAAAAAAATAAAGAAAAGAAAAAAACCCGTAATTACCTCCCTCTACAACAACAACAAAAAGTTTAAAAAAAATAAAGAATAAGGCAGTTCTCATCAAAAGAAAAATATTTTTTGCCCTTACTTTCCTTTGTTGGGTGCAAATTAAACATGTTGTGGTAATCCTTTCACAACATAGGGAAGTCAGACAATTTTGGTGTATTCTAAATTTATACAGTGATATATGTCATTGTATAAAGAATTGTTTATAGAACTCTTACATGTCACTGTGTAAACAGTTGGGGTTTTTTTTTTTACTTTTTTGGTTTTTCTGTTGGGGAGGTAATTCGGTTTATTTATTTATTTATTTAAATGGATTGAACCCAGGAATTCATGCATGCCAAACAGTCACTCTACTACAAAGCTATTCCCCCTACCCCTAAGCTATACCCTCCCCAGTAAGAGTTAGTTTTAAAAAGGCAAATCATTATAACTGCTTAGCAAAAAGAATGATACAATATATAACGTTTTTCAAAAATGTGTTGCTCTTTTTAATTTTTAAACTGTTCTTTTGGGGCAAGCGACTAGGTTCTTATTTATTTTGACAGAGGTACTGGAGATTGAACCTAGGACACTCTACCACTTAGCTATACTCTTCCCTGCATTGCTTCTTTTAAAGCAATGGTTAGTGACTTAAATTATCACTTGACTTAGCCGTCCGGTCTCAGAACCCAAGTCTTGTACCTGAGTCTCTGGAACTGAGCAGATTGGTGAATTGGCCTCCTGCGTGAAAAGGAAATAGAAACAGGAAACCTGTTCTGTAGGCTGTCTGTATGAAATAGCCCATTCTACCTAGAAAACTTTGTATTTCTCATTCTAGTGTGTGATACAAAGACAAGTTCAGTTCTCGTTTCCTTAAACTGCTTAAATTAATTCTAACTGCAGGAAATGTTCCTGGATCCAACCACTACACTATGTCAACCTCTCTGGGAGACCCACATTCCTGAACCCTGAATACCTTTGGCAGAATATGAAAGCAACCCGCTGGCAAAAACAGCTTTTTATTTAAATCGTTTTCAACTAGTTAGGAGGAAATATCTTAGTTTCCTAAATTACTGGCCCAAACAAGTCTAAGCTTTAATTTAAACTGCTACAGGCCGTGACTTAAAAGCAGGCACGGGGAAGCAGCGTCCCCTCCCCGCCCCCTGCCCTTGGCCCGCCCCAGCCCCGGCCCCCGGCGCTCCCGGCTCGACTTGGCTCCCTCTCGCCCGCCCCTCGCCC